TATTAAAAGCCAGCGCCCCGGGACTTTCAATTCTGTGAGACATAGCAACCGAGCGAGCGCTGACACAGATCCCTATTTAGCAAAACCAGACGCCGTCATTACATTGTCTGCGCGAGGCAGAAGAAGGAGCTTTGAGACCCTGATGACCAGCAGAGCAGCTTTTCTTGGATATCCCTGGAGGTATTGAAAAGATGCGTAGATGTGGTGCTTAGGAACATGGTTTAGTGGTGGGCTTGGCAGTGTGAGGTCAGTGGTTGGTGTCATGGTTTAACCCCAGCCAGCAGCCCAGCCCCACGCAGCCCCTTGCTCGCTCCTTCCCCCGGCGGGATCGGGGAGAGAATTGGAAGGGTAAAAGCGAGGAAACACGTGGGTTCAGATAAAGACAGTTTAATAGGTAAAGCAAAAGCCACACACACAAGCAAAGCAAGACAAGGAATTCATTCCCACTTCCCATGGGCAGGCAGGTGTGCAGCCATCTCCAGGAAAGCAGGGCTCCATCACATCTAACATGGGAAGACAAATGCCATCACTCTGAATGTCTCCTCCTTCCTTCTTCTTCCCCCAGCCCTTTATATGCTGAGCATGACGTCATACAGTATGGAATATCCCTTTGGTCAGTTGGGATCAGCTGTCCCGGCTGTGTCCCTTCCCAGCTTCTTGTGCACCCTCAGCCTTCATGATCTTAAAGGTCATTTCAAACCTAAATGATTCTATGATTCTATTCTATGATTCTGTGATCCTCTGGAGAGATTTCTTCCCCTCCCTCCGCCCCTTCCCCTCTCTTTGCTATCTCTAGAAGGACCCTCTGTAACTACGCCATCAATCAACTGGACATCCCACTTAGCTGCAGTTAGGCAACGTGACTCCCACTCCAGATGCTTCGTAGAAAAGCACAAAGAGAGCACAGCACGCTTCACACGGGGGGCGGATGCCAAAACAGACACGTTCTTCACCCCTTGCACGACCCCTTGGCCAGCAGCCAGCCAGATGGATCAATGAAAGGCAGAGATACAAGGCAACAGCTAAACACATGTCTTCTGCATCCTGAAAACCCTTTTTTGGGAGGGAAAACCAGTATTTAGACATTTTAAAACTATGCCGATGTCTACATTTTGATCGGCAAAACCCAGTATTTAGACACTTTAAAACTATGCCGATGTCTACATTTTGATCACTTGACTTTAAAAAAGAACAGGATTTATTTCTCTAAGGAAAAAAAATCTTTTGTCTCTTTCCAGAAGGCACCTTTCACAAGGTCAAGACGAAACCTTGCTGGTTACTAACATCTGTGCCTGCCGACACACATCTGCACGGCTCAGGGGCTGCTTCGACTGGGGGCAGGGGGGGGGAGTGCTCCTGTTAAGCTGGAGGACATGCAATTAAAGTGTAAGGCAACAAACGGGTTCATTAACAAGGGGCACATCGTATACAAGTCCTCTTGGAAGCTGCTAACCCAGGGGGAAAGCAGAGCCAGCGTGACTGGGGTTAAACATGCACCTCTGCAGGCAGGACAGCCTACAGAAGGTAGGCTCCAAAAGACAAAGGCCGAGCTTTGAACCCTCACGCTACAAGGCCTCCTAGCAAGAAAGTGCCCTCTGAGGATTCAAGTGTCACCCTGGTGACACCAACGCGTGAAGTGCCGCTCTCAGAGGTGAGCCGTTGGGATCCGTGCACCATGGCTCACAATGGTGCAGAAGACACATGTACATACGTGTTCATTGGAGCGAGTCCAGAGGAGGCCACAGAGAAGATCCGAGGGCTGGAGCACCTCTGCTATGGAGACAGGCTGAGAGAGTTGGGCTTGTTCAGCCTGGAGAAGAGAAGGCTCCAGGGAGACCTTAGAGCCCCTTCCAGTCCCTACAGGGGCTCCAGGAAAGCTGGAGAGGGGCTGGGGACAAGGGCAGGGGGGGACAGGCCACAGGGGATGGCCTG